TTTTTTTATCCCCCGGGGGGGGGGGGGTGCGGTCGTATACCATATACATTGTATAGCGGTGGTGTACTTTCAGAGGTTTACACTTTTCCATAGAAACTTTGTTATCAGGTATTAAAAAAACTTAAGAATTTTTGTTGTATTAATCTAATACACTATATACTAAGGACCTTATTTCTTTAATGAGATCAGCTACAATGATATATATATATATATATATATATATATATATATATATCAGAAGAGTATTTTATTCTAAAGTTAAAAAAATTAAGAACTTAATAATAAGACTCAACTATCAATAGAGATAGCTTCCTTAGATCATTGAGACTCTAGAACTAGAATTTCTTCAGAAAGCTACGAGTTCTTTTATTAGGGGGGGGGGGTACGTGCCCCCTCCCTCCACCAATAAGTAACCGTCTAAAAATAGATATTTCTTCACATTTGATTTGGGATACAAACGGTATTCTCTCCATCCTAATCAAGGCAAAATTAATTCTAAGGAGATTTAATTCAACCTCTTCCACACAGGTTAAAGTCATCAAGCAGGGCTTTGACATAAAATCTTAGATAGTTCATACATTCTTAGTGGATTCTCTCAACCTTTTCCATATAAGTTAACATCATCGAGCACAGCTCTGACATACAACCTCATATAGGTTATACATCTTTGGTGGATTCTCTTGACCTCTTCCATATAAGTTAATATCATCGAGCAGTGATTTGACATACAACCTCGGATAGGTCATATATCCTTGATAGATTCTCTTGACCTCTTCCACATATATTAACATCATCGAGCAATATTCTGACATAAAATATCAGATATATCATACATTCTTGGTGGATTCTCTCGATCTCTTCCACATAAGTTAACATCATCGAGTAGGGCTCTAATATATAAACTCAGATAGGTCATACATTCTTAGTGGATTCTTCCAACCTCTTATACATAGTTTAACGTCATCGAGTTGTGCTCTAATATTTGATCTCAGAAAGGTCATATTTCCTTTTGTGGATTCTCTAGGCCTCTTCAACAGAGGTCAACATTATCAAGCAATGCTTTGAATGAACAACATTCTCTCTATAAAGATTTTATGAAAGTAAGTGGTTGATAAAATCATCACTCATATAAAGACCTTAGCCTTCTAAAAAAGCCATAAAAAGCATGGAAGGCAAAATATCAAAGTATGTCTCAAAGATGCATTAATAACTTAGTTTTCTCTATGGAACAAGTTCATTTCAAATGAAAACCAAGCTTTGAGCTCATACAATAATCTCAACTTCATATATAATATCATTGGAGTTACATAGATTCCACATTAGATTCAATTATATATTTATTTTCACAACAAGATAAAATTAAAGTTATATCGATATCATCCGTGCACGTTAATATCTTCAAGTAACAAATAACTTCAAAAATGTTGAATATCATTGGTGGACTCTATTGAATTCTTCTTTACTGTACATTGAAGCATCTCCTATAACTTCTACTTCAAAGTAAAATTATAACATGATAATCATCAGGCCTCCACTCAATTGACACCATTAGTTTGTCGATAGAATACTAACATAACACACTGCTTCGACCCCTTCAATAAGGAATATCTGATGTTTGCGCACATCAAAATGGATATATATTATCTTTAGCAAAATTCTACTTGGCACTCACCATCATCAGCACTTCATCTAATGTTTATCTTCAGACCTTTACTTCATATCAGTCAATATCGGCTTCTCACTTAACTACTATTAGTAGTACACCCTCCAACAATCTCCCTCAACTTTCCATTTGAACATCAACCGCTATCGTGCTTCCTCGATCGACGATCGCCATCAAATTTTTTCCCAATCACTAATCGCTACCATACTCTTACTTGGTCGGTGATTGTCCTTAAATTTCTGCTCAAGCATCATAAAAAATGTTCCCGTTTACTCAAAATCATTAGTTTTCTTCATGAGTATTATTACCACCATATATTCTCAAATCACACTCGCTTGTAAAACATATTTTTTTTCATCTATCTAGGAAAATTTTTATTATGACTTCTTTTATAAGAGAAGGACACTGAAATTTGATAGGGGATGCCACCTATCTTAGACATAGGAATGCTTCTAATATAAGAAGAAAATAAGATGAGAAGATAATGGAATGATGAAAAATATTTAACTTTTACATAAGAGAGGGGCACTAAATTTTCATAGAGGATGCTGCCTATCTAACATAGTGGAATGCCTCTAATGTATGAAGAAAATTAGATGAGACGACAAAGGAAGGAATTTTTTTTTTAACTTCTACACAAAAGAGGGGGTTTGAATTTGAGAAGGGGATGCCACGTACCAAAAACAATGAAATGCCTAAAATGTAAGAAAGTTAGAGGGAGAAGAGAGGAGAAAAAATGGAGTAATTTTTCCCCTACCCCAAGGGGGTATTTATAGGAGAAAAATGGGGGGAAATGATTTGAAAAAGGGGGGGGGGGGAATGCCTCCAATTATGTTTGAAATTTTTCAAAAATTCTTCTAGAATTTTCTAGAAATGTTTTGGGCCCTAAATTAAAAAAAAAAAGATAAAAAAATTGTCTCTTTCTTTTAATAAAAAATATGGCCCCACGCAAAAAAGGAGAGATAAAAGAATTTTTCTTTCTTAAAAAAGCATGATGGGCCCACAAAAAAATCCTTCTCACTAAAAAAATTAAATTCGGGGACTATAGCTGCAAGTGTATGGCGCCAAGCAAAAAGAATTATGTAGAATTGAATACCATTTTGTAGAAATTACTGTAGTGAATCATTGCAATGCATTAGTGTAGCGCAAGGATCTGCGGTCCTATAATAGGTATTATCGTGTACTGTAACAACCAAATTATGTGTAGGGGCCAATTTTTTGCTCAAACAGTCCAAATCGGATAAGTTTAAATCTTTGGAATCGTTTTTCGATGTTCCTGATCCAATTTTGAAACTTTCGTAGGTCAACGAATCTTTTATGATATAGTTTCAGCAAAATTACATTTTCTTAAACAAAATTTTCTGACATATTTTGCGATTCGTTCAAATTTAAAATGTTAAGGCAAGTATTTTCAAATTTTTGGAGCTTCGACATCCAAAGATAGAGTGCAACTGGTATATCATCAAAAAATTATCTTGATCAAGCATGAATCTCGAGGCAAAAAT